AAACAGGCTCCAGGCTCTGAGCTAGCTATCAGCAGAGAGCCCGATGCAGGGCTCAAACCCACGAACTGTGAGATCATGACCTGAGCCGGAGTTGGAGGCTTAACTGACTGAGCCACCCAGGTGCCCCTCACAGTTTGTGAGTTTAAGCTTTTCATCAGGCTCACTGCTGTCAGCACAGAGCCAACTTCAGATCCTCTGTCCCCATCTCTCTTTGCCCCTCCCTGCTTGCGCACACACACTCTCTCTCTCTCTCTCTTTCTCTCTCTATCAAAAATAAACATTTAAAGTTTTATAAGATAATTTTAAACCATCTTACTGATTTGTTCACTTATCAAACATATTGGAAGTTCATTGAAGCTGCAAGTTAGGAGACCTCATTCAAGGCCTGGCTTGCCAGCAACTTGCCATAAGTCTTTGGATAATTTACCCAGTCTTTCGAGGCTTTTCTCTCCTCTGGTGACAATTGAAAGGATTAGAGTAGGGCGCCTGGGTGGCTTAGTCGGTTAAGCGTCCGACTTTCGCTCAGGTCATGATCTCGCGGTTCGTGGGTTCGAGCCCTGCGTCGGGCTCTGTGCTGACTGCCAGCACAGAGCCTGGAGCCTGTTTCAGAGTCTGTGTCTCCCTCTCTCTCTGACCCTCCCCTGCTCATGCTGTCTCTCTCTCTCTCTCTCTCCTACAAATAAATTTAAAAAAAAAAAAAAAAAAAGAAAGGATTAGAGTAGAACGCACATGAAAGTTCTATTCTGACATTTTGTGCTGGAAAGATTCAATATCTTATCTTCAACATGTTTTAATAAATATTAATAATATTCAAACATTTGCATACTACTTCATAGCTCACAAAGTGCTTTCACATATATGATCTCTTTTAAATCTTTCCAGTGCGTGTGAGTTAGGCACATTTCATAGAAGTGAGAGCAAGCTCAGAGAAGTTGTTACTTGCCCAAGATCACAGAGTTTCTTACACAGCAGAGCAGGATAGACAGGCCCTTCCTACTCCCAAGTTCAATTTTCTTCTACTGTATTCAGGATACTTCAAGGTTAAGTTTCTGTTAAATCATAAAGTAATGTGGTGTTATCTTACAGAGGGTATTACCCCTCTGGATGTAGAGTCAGAAGACCAGGTTTCTTTGACAGACAGTATGATGTGGGGAAATCAACCTCTCTGAGCTTCAGTTTCCTCATTTGTAATAAAGGGATTTGGACTACACAACTTTTGGGCTTACTTCTTGTTTAAAATTCTTCTCCCCGCCCACCCCCCCATGGCTGTGACTATTTCTAGATTAATATTGTGATAAATTAATATTAAAATAAAACTTTTTATAGACTATAGGAGGTTGAAAAAAGTTCATCAAAAGATTCTTCCTACTGGCTATTATTCATACTCTTTGGCAATTGGCCTGTTAAAGACCTTGGACTAATAATTACTGACCAAATAATAGTCTTCAGTAAGCTAGTTAACTTAAGATTTCATAAAGAGGTAAATTATTTTGGCTGAGTTATGTAGAAAATGCATGGAGTTGCATTTTCGGAGAGATCTTGACTTGACAGAAGACCTTACTTGGTAACCAGTGATAGAAACACCTAAGGGAGCTCATTGTGAAGACATTTTTGGCTCTCCCTGCAGTGTGCTGACTATATGCTATGTCTGCCTCTCTGATATAGTATCTTATTGTCATGTACACTCTTCACCCTGGAAGTTTATAATTGGTAGACATTTCGTTAAGATAAAGACGAATCACTTGAAAACAGCAGAGAGTATGATGGTGAGTGTTTTAAGAGTTAGAGACAAAGAAGAGTTTTGAACCTGCTATTCCTTTGCCCGCCTCCCCATCTGAGTAGAACATTGTAACTTTTGAAGCGAACTTAGAATGGATCATAACTAGCTTGCTGAGCTGGTACTTTATGCACAATTAAGCTTTGTTGGGACTTTCTTTATTTGTAATAGTGCTGTTACGGCGTGGGATGCTATTCAGCTCCAAACAACATTCCATTTAATAACTAGGGATTAGTTCACCCATTAAATCAGTGCCATCACTAACTGATAAGTATCGCCTTTTTCCTTGGCCCCACTTGGCTCTTCTGTTTAGTGAATGAAGCATGGCCATGTTATGGAACTTGAGAGGAGAAGGTTGGAGGAAGGATAGACTGAGCAATGATGACCAAAATTCCGTCTAGTCACAGAAATGGAAATTTGCCCTAGTCTTTTCCTTTCCTTAAACAGAAACTTTTACACTTTCCAGGCAGCAATTTAAGTGCCTTTAAAAACAAAACTAAACTGGGGCGCCTGGGTGGCTCAGTCGGTTGGCGGCCAACTTCAGCTCAGGTCCTGATCTCACAGTTCGTGGGTTCGAGCCTTGTGTTGGGCTCTGTGCTGACAGCTCAGAGCCTGGAGCCTGTTTCAGATTCTGTGTCTCCCTCTCTCTCTGACCCTCCCCTGCTCACACTGTCTCTCTCTCTCTCAGAAATAAATAAAACATTAAAAAAAAAAAAACCCCAAAGCACTAAACAAAACAAATAATAGCACCAACTACTACATCTCTTATACACCAAAAAGACAAAAATGTATTGAGGGGATGCAAAGGATATACAACAAAAGATATGAATAAAATGTTCATAACATTTTTGTTTGTAATAATCAAAACCAAAAAAGAGTCCAATGTACATCAGCAGTAGAATAAATAAGTTACGGTATATTTATACAACAGAAACTCAAAAAACACAAACACTATACTCAACATACTCAACAACATGAATAGCTCTCACAAACCTAATGTTCAGAGAAATAAGCCAGACCCAAAAGAGTGTATAATGTATGAATCCAACTACACAAAGGCAAGAACAACTCTGGTATTAGAAGTCAGGAAAATGGCTACCTTTGGGGAGGAGTGAAGGATAGAGATTTGAGAAAACAAAAGGGTCTTCTGAGTGCTAGTAATGATCTATTTTTTTTTTTTATCTGAGTGGTGAATACATGGGTGTGTTCATGTTTCATCAAACTCTACATTCGTATTTTGTGTCCTTTTATGAATATAGATTTTATACCTCAATGAAAAATTTATTTCAAAATAATGTTAGAGGGGCGCCTGGGTGGCTTAGTCGGTTAAGCGTCTGACTTTCGCTTAGGTCATGATCTCGCGGTTCATGGGTTTGAGCCCCGCGTCGGGCTCTGTGCTGACTGCCAGCTCAGAGCCTGGAGCCTGTTTCAGAGTCTGTGACTCCCTCTCTCTCTGACCCTCCCCTACTCACGCTCTCTCTCTCTCTAGAAATAAATAAAAACATTTAAAAAATTTTTTTAAAAACAAAAAAACCCCCAAAATAATGTTAAAAATGAGAAACTGCTTTAGTTAGACCGGGGCTGAGTGCCCTAAAGGCATTAAATCAATGACGTCTCACTAGCAATCATAAAAGGGCAGGTTTTATTTGCCCATTAGTGAATTTGTTTGTACTCCACTTTTGATTTTGGTATACACTTGAGATTTGCAAAAATGTTGCCATGGTGGTACAGAAAGTTCTGTGTACCATTCATCCACTTCCCCCTTATATGTTAACAGTATGTATTATAATAGTACATTTCTTACAACTAAGAAACCAACATTGGTACATAACTGTTAACTAAATTCCATTCCTATGCTGCTAGTTTTCCCACTAACATCCTTTTCATGGTGTAGGATCCCATTCAAAATACCATGTTACATTTAGTCAATCAAATCTCCATCAGGTCTGTGTCAACTTCTCAGTTTTTCCTTGTTTGTTTGTTTGTTTTTCTCATTGACTTGACAGTTTGTTCAGGTATTTTGTAGGTTTTCCTGGTGTTCTCTCAAGGTCAGACTGGGTTTATAACTTTTGAAGAAGAGTACCTTTTTCATCACACCACATCAGGGAGCATGCTATAACTTGATTTATCACTGATGTTAATTTTCATCTGGCCAAGATACTGTTTACCAGATTTCTCCACAATAAAGTTACTTTTTTTCTTCCTTTCGTACTCTTTGGAAGCAAGTCACTAAGCTGAGCACACTCAAGACAGGTTGGGAATGGGACACCTGTGTGGCTCAGTTGGTTACGCATCCGACTTTGGCTCAGGTCTCATAGTTCGTGGGTTCAAGCCCCGCATCGGGCTCTGTGCTGACAGCTAGCTCAGAGCCTGGAGCCTGTTTCAAATTCTGTATCTCCCTTTTTCTCTGGCCCTCCCCTACTCACGCTGTCTCAAAGACAGGCTAGGAATTAAGCTTCAATTTCTTTTTAAAATGTCCGGTGTTGCATACAGTTTCTACCACATATATCAGCTCAATTCATATGCTTTATAAATAAGTCTTTCTATTATACTGCCTCTTTAGGAGCAATTAAATAGTAATGAGTAAACAGCTCTTCATTATTCAATGTTTTTCCATCTTAATAGAAACCTTGTAAGGAGATCAGTATAATGCTAAAGTTAAAAAGGTGGTATTGTATCTACTGAAAATAAAAGTAACTGAGCAGGGAAGATGTGAGAGCATCTTGCTCATGGGAGGTAATGGTCACGGTTTCCAAATGTTGTGAGGGAAATGAGTTTGCAGGAAGGATTTGTACTGGGGCAGAAGAGGTTTGCAAACTTGGCGAATTATACCTTTAGAGCGCCTATAATTTATTTTCCACTTTTGCTCTGAGCACCTTACCAGCCATAATCCCTATGCATCACCTGACCCACCAACTCTGGACTGCAAAAGCCCTCGCAGGACTACACTACAGATAGCAGGCTGCCGCGAGCAAGGGATTACTCCTAAAGCGATTTAAACCACTGGCTGCTAGGGAATAACTGGGCAATTTATAGCCCGACCCTGGGGGTGGGAAGTCTGTAGGAAGCTCCTCCCTTCAGTCCAGGACGGGGCGGTCCAGACGCAGCGCAGCGTCTAAGGCCCGAGCGGCGCCCCGCCCCCCTCTGGTCCCGCCCCTTCCCCAGCTCGGCTCGGCCCCTCCCCTCCTCGTGGCCTTCGCGTCTTCCTTCCGGGTCGCGCTGGGCCGTGTTCGCCGCCGCCGCGCCGCAGCGCGGGACTCTGGGAGCCGCCCCCGCGCCGGCGTCTCCCGGTGCCGCCTGGGTCGCTGGTGAAGCCCACGGCGCGCGGCTCTCCCGGACCCTACAGGGTACGGCCCTTCCTTTACTTCTTGCTCCTGTGGGTCTCCGTCTTCCTCCTTCGGCACTGGGGCGGGGCCGGGCCGGGGCGGAGCGCCGCGCTTCGGGGAGCCTGGGCGCGGGGCCGAGGTCCCCACTCATCGCCCCTCCCCCGAAGCCCGCATAGCGCTTGCGGAGCTTGCTGGGCGCCTGTGAGTGGCTTACGTGCCTTGGGTGCTACTTCTCTGTCCCGCTCTGTCGGCAAGGCGTTAGGCGTGCTGGCGTCCACCCCGCCTAGGGTTGTTTACACCGCGGTGTCACTGGGCCGTGCTGACCCTGCAGCCACCCCGTCAGCCACCTGCCGGCTGTGTACATGTTGCTCCTGTGCGTGTTGCCTTGATTTCCCCCTGGCATCGATGGTTTTTGACGAACCAGGCGCATGTCTTCAGGACTGCCACAAGATACCGGCAGCAACCTTGTTTCTATGTTTAGGGGTGTCCTTAGAAAGTAGTGTTGATGGTAACCGCCCACTTGGCTACCTTGTCAACCTGTTTACAGTGGGAGTGAGTTTGGATGGCCTTGATGGTTCACAAATGCTTATTGCCATATAGCCTCAAGATGCCGTCACTAAGTGAAGATATATGTACGGATAAATAGAAAGTTAAGGTGATATAAACCTGTGGTCAGATAGTGGCGTTGACAGGGTACCGTGTTTGGCGTTATGCCATGGGGGAATCTCTGCCGGGTGCTGTGATCGTGCTTGTTCCTATTTGGTTGAGGACACAAGCTGCCTTCACTGCTGCCCGGCCTGCACTCCTCGGCTTCAAGCACATTTTATCCTTAAAAAGCTCACTTAATACCTCTAGATCTATACTGCATATTGTACCTGTTGGTTAAGTAAAGGGAGATTTTCCTAATACATCATCAACTATCTTGTAATCCTTTGTTAGATACTAAGTTATTGGGGGAAAGGACAGTGTACTTGTCTTCCTAGTGGCAGTGTGTGCATCACCCTATGGTAGGAACCCTCTAATTGCTCATTGAATCGGATTCTTCTTGTTAGGCTTTTTTAGTGAGTACTGACTTTTTACACTGTCTCAAATTTTGGCTTTTCTGAACCCTCAATTTCTTGCCCTTCTCTTCTGTTACTGACTTGAAAAGCAGAAAGGTCAGCTCAATGTAAAATGGTTAATTTCTTCTTTATAGTGCTGTGATCTAGTCATGCAATTATAGTATTCTGTACATGGCATCTTAAAATATTGCTAACTGCTTATCTTTTACTTTGAAATATGGCCAGTTAGCAAAGACTGCCCCTTTGTTCTTTGCTGTCTTCTCTGTATCATAATTTTCCTATGATCAACATTCTATCTTAACTTCAAGGAGCTACCTTGGTGCCTCTCTTAGACCTTTTGCCACATGAAGAGTGTGTGTGTATCCACCTCTGTTTTTTTCTAGTACTTTTTTTTTTTAACATTTGTTTATTTTTGATAGAAAGAGAGTGAGAGAACACGTCCATGCATGTGTAAGGAAGGGACAGAGTGAGGGAGAAAGAGAATCCCAAGCAGGCTCCCTTGTTACCAGCGCAGAGCCAAACACCAGGCTCTGTCTCATGAATTGTGAGATCATGACCTTAGCCAAAATCAAGAGCAGGCACTTAACTGACTGAGCCAGCCAGGAGCCCCTCTTTAAGTACCTTTAATGATCTTATTCTTCATTTATAAATCTTTAATTTACCTCAAGAATATTTTAGTGTAAGAAAGGAAGTAGGGCGCTTCCTTCTCCCCACCCAAAATTGTTAGCCAGTGATCCCATCTTTATTTGTTGGATTCTGTTTTTTCCTGCTGATAAGAAATACTCCCATTTTTCCAAGGCCCAAATCCTTGTGTATTCTTAAGATGTCTTCTGGGGCACCTGGGTGGCTCAGTCAGTTAAGCGTCCCACTTCGGCTCAGGTCATGATCTCATGGTTCATGGATTCGAACCCCAATCGGGTTCTGTGCTGACAGCTCGGAGCCTGGAGCCTGTTTCGAATTCTGTCTCCTTCTCTCTCTGCCCCTCCCACATTCGTGCTCTGCCTCTCTCTCTCTCTCTCTCTCTCTCTCAAAAATAAATGAACATTTAAAAACAAGATGTTTTCTGAGCTGTTGTTCAGTGATCTCTGGCTTCCTGTGCGAATACCTGCTGCTTTTCTTATTCTAGCTTTATGATGTGTTTAATATCTAGTGATTCAATAGTGTCTGCCATGCTGTAGGCCACTGAATATTTTTGGAATGATGACACTTAGTAGGGCTAAATTGATTTTCTTTTTACTCCTCCCCCACCTTTAAAGCCTCTCATCTATTCTTGAAATTATTTTTTAGCAAGACCTTTTCATGGTAAGCTGAATCATTAACCATTGATAAATAAATCCCTTCTCTTCATACCTTGGAACTCGCCATGTAGAGCTGCTGCTCAGAGTTGTACGTAGAAAAGCAGCTGTTCAAAGTCGGCCTGTCTCTTGACTTTGCATTATGTTATTTACTAGTAAGTGTAGGGTCTCTTGTCAGCTATGACTCAGGACCTTCTCTCCCTGGTTTCTGCAGCTCTGAGGGATAAGTGCCGATAGAAGTGATTACCCAGGACAGCCTCATGTCCATTTGTATTTCACCATCTCAACTGGACATCTTAAGTGTAATGGATTTTCAAGTGCTGTTCTTATAGATACTTAAACTTTATTAGATTACAAAATAAATATATACATTCTTCAGAAAAAGTCAAGTCATAACAGAAGTAGCCAGAGGAGAAAGTGTTGTGTGCCAACCTACCCCATAACTCCATTTCCCAGAGATCATCATTACTGAATCATTTGTTCTCTTTCCAGACATTAAAAATACATGTGTATAAGTCTATATTTGTTTCATAAATGGCAGTGTACTATATATATATGTATAAAATTTTCTGTAACTTTCAGCTAGTAATAATTGACAAACATCTTTCTATGTCAGTGCATTTAACATTATCTTTTTAAAGTCTTTTTGGTATTTCAGTGTAGGAATAACCTGAAATTTATTTAACTGATCCCCTGTTGATATTTAAGCTATTCCAAATTTATTTCTATCGGAGACAAACTGCAGGGATCATTTTTGTCTGTGTATATTTATTTGCACACTTGTTTATTTCCCTAGTGTAAATGCTTAGACAAGCAACAGCTGGGTCAAAGGCTATATACATTTTAAATTATGATAGATTGTCATATTGTTCTTCAAAAGGTATTGGAAGAGTAAATTTATATACTTTATAAGAATGCTGCTGCTGCTACCATTATCATTGCCAAGAGTTGTCACAGATCTGAGATTTTACCCTCCTTGCAAGCCAACAGTTTCATGGATACTGACAGAAGAGATGAGACCCCTGGGCCAGAGACAAAGCATAGCAACAACAGTAACCAGAGTATCGTCATTTTCTTGTGCTTCTTCCTTGAACCCCATTTTCTGTGGGGTGATGTGATAAGGACTAGATGACTCTAGCACACACAGTAGATTGCATTGTAGGACAGGAACCCTGAGTTTAGGGAACCTGAGTCTTTCATAATGGGCTGCAAGTAAACTTGCTTAACCTTTGCCCTACAGAGAGGCATTATATTTATTATGCTGGATAACAAACAAACCTGCCCTCCGCTCCAAAGGGAAACCTCTCTTTACCATGGACATTTGCTCTGTAGACATCCTTGAAAATATAGTCTGGAACAAAGGCCATCAGAGCCTATGCATATAGAGAGACCTGGGAAGAATTGTATCAAAACACAGCTGCTAAGATGATACAATCATTTTTTACTTTTTTTACATGTTAGCAGTTTTATGGATGAAAAATGCTATTTTTTTCTACTCTTAACTTTTACATTTCTTTGCTGATTGATGGAATTAAATATCTATAAATGTTTCCTGGTCATTAGTATTCTTTTGTAACTTAACATGTTCATCCTCTTTGCTTAGTTTCCTGTTGGAAGTATTTCTGGTTTTCTTACTGGTTTGTGGTAGTTCTTTAAGTGTTGTGGCTCTTACTGACTTGGTATACCATTTGATGGTATTTTTTTTTTTTCATAGTGTATTCTTTTAACACAGTTTCTGGGAACTTTTGCTATATGCAAGTTTTTATAATATTTATGTTGTCTGTTCTATTATTCCCTTCCTTTATGACCTCTGAGTTTCTACCCCAAGATTATTAAGATGCTTTGTACACATTCTCTTAATTGGATATTTTGTATCATAAGTTTAGACTAAGAAATAGTTGCTATGATAATACCTTAAATTTACTTTTCTAAATACCTGGATATTTTTCTAAAACATTTATTTTGATAAGCGATCCTTTCCCTATTGTTTTCATTTGACATGTTTATTATGCTATATTATTTTTTTCCTCAAAATCGACAAGTTGGTAAGCAAAATATGTTGGTTTCCTACTGTGACTGTGAATATGGTTGAATTCATCCTATGTGTAATTGCTTGGATTTTAATCTTACAAAATATAAAATATCCTTTTGCCTTAATGATTTTTGCCTTGGAGTCTACACGTCTGATATTACTGTTGCCATCTCGATCAGTTTTGTGTGTGCCAGATCTATATTGCACATGTTTAATTTTCGTCAGCCTACATCATTTTGCTTTACTGCCTCTCTTGTACACCTCAAACAAACATCATATAGCTGGACATTTATTTCTCTCTCCAGGCCTCCGCCTCTCCTAATTTGAAAGTTTGTTTATTTTTTTTGCATTTTTAAACTTTGTAAAAACATAATTATAGATTCACATGCAATGATAAGAAATAATATAGAGAAATACCTATGTACACTTCACCTAGTTTCCTCCTGCAGTACGTCTTGCATAACTAAAGTATAATGGTACACCTAGGAAATTGACATTGGTACAATCTGCAGACCTTATCTAGATTTTATAACTTTTACATGCTCTCTTGGGTGTGTTTGCATTTAATTCTCTGCAGCTTTATATAGATCTTGTATACAGAGCAGTTCCATTACAGAGATCCCTTGTGCAAAA